TACAATATATGAATGTAAATGTGTAGACAAAAGGCAGGTAACTGTGGTTACTCTAGAGACGAGTCTGCAGTTGGGGGTGGAAGTTAGGGAACTATAGCTTTATCTGTAATTGTTGATTTGTATTCATATATTTCTTTTAAATGGGTGGACTTTATGGTGTATGAATTGTGTCTTAGTAAAGCTTTTATAAACAAATATGAAGCAAATCAACTGCACCAAAATACCATGATAAATATCAAACTTTGTCTTCTTAAACATCTTTAAGTTCTTTTGATTACTGTTACCATATGACCTAACAATTCCATCACCCAACTATGTATTCATATATTTCTTGTGTAATTAAAAGTTATAAAAATTTTAAGGTAAAAATTTAAACACAAAAAGTAGTAAGGGAAGGTGAGGCTGTTACATTTGTGGAGCAAGTTTAAACCCTATTCCTATAAATGGTTTCAACTAACCATCTAATCTTCATAGCAGCTCTTTCCAGAGAGAGGGAGATGATACAGAGAGAAGGTTGGTGGTGGGAAGATTAGCTAAGATAAAAACAGACCCTCTGAAAGGGGAAGAGGAGAATATACGACGATTCAGAGAACTTTAGAGCAGGAAGACAACTTCAGGATTATCTGGTCCAACCCTTCATTTTTCAGGCACGGGGTTGGACACTAGAGGAGAAATGAGCTGCCCAATGTCAAAGGGTCAGCTAGTGGCAGAGGACAGGAACCCTGACCCCCAAATCCCTGTCCCTGCCCCATCCCACAGAGCTGTGGAAGCCAGGGCTGTTTGCCTGTGTTTACCTGCCAGCCTCCACCCTGCCTCCTGGTTCTCAGGCCACCAGAGGCTTCTGAGGTTTCTGGGCTTCTTACTGGTCTTGTCTCAGTTCTATATTTACTCCTTTCCACCTCTGAATCCACCCTCCTCCCCCTGACTTCCTGCAGTCTCTCCCTGTCCTCCTCGTCCCTGCACTCAGCAACCCCACCGGCCTTCCCTACCTTGGGCCATGGTGGCTGCCTCCGGTTCCTGGGCTGCTCCCCGCAGAACAGCTGGATGGACTGGACCTTCAGGAAACTGGTGCCAGAATGTCTGCTTCCCCTTGCATCCTCAGACTCCAGGAGACACTGTAGGTGGGGCCGGACTGCTGCACTGCCACCTGCTTACTGGGCAGATCACAACTGGTTTTCTCATTTGCCCTTGGGTTTTTCTTGGCAGTGTTGCTTGGCTGAGAGGAGGTGTGGAGGCTGATGAACTGTCACAGTCTTGTGCCATGTGGCCTTGCATAGCTCTTGAGCAACAGGGCCTTCCCTGGCAGGTGCTGTGCTGTCGTGGGGGAGCCAGGAGGGAAAGGTGAGCTGACAGGGTCTCCAGGGAGATGGAGGGGGCTGCGCCTCTGCAGGAAGTCTGATTTGGGGCTTCCTCTTCTGCATTTCCTATTGGCCAACTCATACCTCACATTATAAATACTTACCTATCTTTCCCCCAGGCGCCCTCGAGGGCATGGGCTGTGTCTTATTAAAGCATTCCTAGTGTTTAACAGTGGCAGTGGCTAATAGTAATAAAACTACTAATACAACTGGTAATAGCTTTTAATACCAGATACTGTTTTAAATTCTTTATGTGCACTACTCCACTTAATGTTACAACAGCCCTATGGTTAAGTACTATTACTGTTCCTGTATTACAGATGAGGAAATCAAAGGCTTAAAGACATTAAATAGTTTTTCCAAGATCACTCACAAAGAACTGGTGGAGCCAGATTTTGATTGCAGGCAGTCAGACTCCACAGCCCAAGTGCTCCGTAAGTGCTTGATGCAGTCACTGAAACATGGTCTTCTTCCAGGTCCTGTTTCTGATCTGTTGGAGTGAATGAAGTAACAGATGATCCACGCATGAACTCGCTGAGAAGGGTTAGCCGGGGAGAAGGCAGGAACAAGGACAGGAGAGCTTATCGTGAGGGGGACAGGAAGGTGAGTACAGCCAGGGTGGATGGGTCTGCACAGGTGTGGTGGCCAAAGGGGAAGATGTGCAGGTGGCCTATTTCATGGCGCCCCTCAGGCCAGCCTGGAGCAGCTGGGAAGAGTTGAGATTTTGGAGCCATCAGGCAGCCACTGTGAGTAAAGCTCGTTGAGTTGTGCCAGCTGGGTGGACTGAACGCCAGGCAGCTCTGCCTGCCCCCAAACTTGATCAGAAGGCAGGGAATTCACGTGCACCTCGCAGGCCTGGGCCTCCCACAAAGGACCTGGCAAGGTCAGGAGGCACTTAGAGAAGATGGGTCCGAGGCAGCCCCCAGGCAGGAGAGGCATGGAAGCAACATGGGGGCACGAAGCTCATTTACGGGGCCAGGAGAGCCCTGGCTGCTCCTCTTCCTAGACCCCGGGGCTGAACCAGACCTGGGCTCTGCGCCTAATGAGCTGACGTACAGGCTCAGCCTTTCCTTCAATTCTGTGAAAGATTAATGAGAGGGCCGGTGTGCTGGGGCAGAGAGGCAGCTCTGATCAGAGAAGCTTGTCCCTCGGTCCAGGGGCAGGGACACGAAGATACCAGGAACCTGAGCAGCGGTGAAGAGTAGGGGTGTGACCTGCAGGGGAGGGACCCTTGAGCAGCGACGTGGACATACCAACCATCATCCTGGGGCAGGCCAGCTCTAGCAAGGGGGTGGGGGCGGGAAACCTCCAGAGCTTTCTAAGACCCAGAGAGCTCTGAGTGCTAATTCTGGCCCTGCCATGACTTCCTAGCATGCCCTTGAACAGGTTACAGTTTCCTCGTCTGTCCAATCAGGGCCCATGACGCCGTGGGGGCCCAGGTCTGAGGGGAGAGTGAGGAGTTCCCCCACAGACGATTCAAAGGGAAGCCACAGTGGGCAGATCCAAGTGGACTCCTCTGTTCCTCTCCTCTTCTCATCCCCAGAAATGGAGACAGTCACCCAGGAGAAGTGATTTAACTGACCAGAGGGCCTCTGGATGTGCTTGTGCATCACAAGTTACAAAGCACCTTAGAATACACTTCCTCCTCCGGTCCACAGCGCCCTGTGAGGGCCGGCAGGGCTGGCAGTACTGTTGTTGTTAGGTGATCATTTTACACCTGGGGAAATCAGGGTCACACCTTGAGGGAGTTGAGAGCTCTTTGCTTTGTATCACGCAATGATGCAGGACATGATGAACCCCAAAACTACCAACGAAAAGGACCTAAGGATGACGGTCTCTGTGCACACCACCGGGGCACAGGAAGACCAGAAGCCAGGAGCTGGGGGCGCTGGCCTGGTTGAGCTGCCTCCCTGCTCCACAGCTGAACATTTCTTTTGCCACACTTTATCTATGGGAGCCCCGCTGGGTTGTGAGGCAAAGGGCGGGTCACTCAGGATCTAATCTCAGGGTGCACTATAGCAGTTCTGGGCCCTAGGGATGTCAAACTGGAAGAGAGGATTGAGATGGTCTAGCTTGTCCATCCAAGGCAGGGAAAGGAGAGGAAGCGGACAGGCTTGCCTAAGTGAGGAGAAAGAGGAGGAGGAGGAATAGGAGAAAACACAGTTCAAGTATGATGTTAAAAGTCAATTTTTAGCTGGAGACAGGGAAAATAATTGGAAAGGTGGACTGGGAAGGCAGAAATGACTAACATCCACATCTCTTGGAAGGCCCTCAGAAGCCCAGGGGGAGGCTGCCCACTGTTGCCCCCCAGTGACACAACCAGGGACAGCACAGGAGGGCAGTGACTAACATAGGAGGACCCGCACTCCACAGACAAGCAAGGTGTCACATTTCTGCAAGAGCCAGAGCAGGTGCCCCTCTCCTGAGGGTGGAGAACTGCCTAGAACACTGTGTGACAAGGCAGTGACAAGGCGCCACAGAAATGCCCAATGGCACTTAATGGGGACAGGTGTAGCTGGCACACAGGGAGGGGTGAGGGCGTGCAGGCTCCCGTCCTCCCTGCCCCAAGCAGCTGGGAGCAAGCAGGCCTGGGGGAGGTGCAGGCCTGGGAGGCCCCCAAGAGAGAAAATAGAAGGGAGGAGGAGGAGGACTAAGCAAGCAAATAATACTACATGGACAGGAGGAGGGGCAGGGGAGGAGAGGGAGGAAAGGGAGAAGGAAGAGGAAGAGAAAAAGGAAAAAGAGGTGGGAGGGAGGAGGGGGAGGAGTGGGAGGTGGGGAGGAGGATGGGGAAAGCAAGCAAACAAATATCACACCAGAGAGGAGGAGAGAGGAGGAGGAGGGGAGGAGTGGGAAGAGAGGAGGGAAGGGAGAAGAGGAGGGGGAGAGGAGCCCTGGAGCACCTGAGGAGTGGATGAGGGCAAAGGGCCCATGCCTGAAAACCAACAGGAAGTGCTCTCCTTTTCTGTATTTCTGGATTTTCTGAATTATCTGTGATGCAGACGGATCAATTTACAACAATGACTTTAGGAAAATACAAGAGGGGAAAAGACCAGAATGATCTATTGCAAAATGGTAGCAGAGATTTCCTCTGGGATGAGGGAGCTATTGGTGATTTTTCTTTAGTTTCTTTTCACCTTTTGGTTCTTTCCAAATCATCTAGAATGATCAGGAATGATTTTGGTAACCACAGGGGAAAAAAATACTAGAGTGGCTCCAGCCATCCTGAGCCTCCAAGATGGGCCCTCAGGTAATGTTTGTTGAGTGAATGCATGTGGAAAGGTGGCTGTCCAGCCCTCCTGGGATGCTCTAGGTGGCAGCAGAGAAGTCCTGCTGGGCAACTTCTGGGTAGTCGGTGGCCATGGCACTGCAGTCGCTGTCCCCCAGCACATCTGGGCTGCTCCCCTCAGGCCTGCAGTCTCGCTAAGACAACTTAAATGGAGAAACCTGGAATGCTGCAGTCCCGAGAAGCTGCTTTAGAGGCCATGGTGGTGGGCTTGTTTTGTGGTTGAGGCCCTTAAAGGAGGAGAGGGAGGATAGGAGGAGCAGGCAGGGCCCAGCCACACAGCTGGCAGCCAGGCCAAGAGGACCAGCCAATAGCAGTAAGTGGCTTGTCAGCACAGGAGCGAGAACACGGGTGATAAACAAAGACGTCTTTATTGTCTCTTCCCAGAGTGCACAGTGGTTCGAAGAAAGCTTCATTCAGTCCCAGGCAGTCTGGGAAGAGGACAGAAGTGGAGCAAGGACAACATATTCAGGAGTAGGAAAGAGCACGGCAGGGCCAGGGGTGCTGGGGACCACCAGGGGCAGCAGGCTCAGGAAGCTCTAGCTGGGGCGACCAGGATGTCCTTGTAGCCCTTGATCTCCTTGACCTCGTTGCTGCTGATGAGGACTTGTAGCTGACGGGGTCCAGCTTTGATGGGGTAGAGATCCAGTTGAATTTGGATGGTGTGTTCAGCCATCAGAGTCCCAAGGCTGAAAGTCAAAAAGAGACTGTCAGAGCCTTGAGGGGTCACCACTTGGGTGGGTGCTCTGTTCCCCTTCTGGGTGGGTACATACCTCCCACTCACCAACACCACCCAGCTCAACTTTTGCTGAGGAGGGTGGGAAAGTGGGGGCCAGGAGGCACCTTTCAGGAGACTGAGGAGGGTCGTAGGACCCCACAAGGTACCCCTTATCAGAGACCAGCATGAGCAAGGTAGATGAGCGGTGTCACTTACTCATTTACTATCTGCCCATCGATGAGGCCACTTCCCTCCAACACCATCGTGCAGTTACTCAGAGACACTGTTAAGGTGTTGGTGAGGGTGATGTGGACTCTCAGTGCCTTGCCCACCTCAGCCCTCTCAGACACCTGTGTGGAGAGAAGACGGAGACACTGTGGGCTGCTGCCTTCACTTCTGCACTCCGATTCAGTTACCTGCCTCCCTATCCTTCTGGTGACCACCAGGGACTGCTACTTAGAGCTAAGATGCTACAGTTGGGAGAGAAAAATATGACCTGAGATATTTGATATTAACACATATACTGGGCCGGGTGTGGTGGCTTATGCCTGTAATCCTAGCACTCTGGGAGGCCGAGGCAGGAGGATCGCTTGAGGTCAGGAGTTCAAGATCAACCTCAGCAAGAGCAAGACCCTATCTCTACTAAAAACAGAAAAAGCAGCCAGGCATGGTGGTGTACACCTGTAGTCCCAGCTACTTGGGAGGCTGAGGCAGTGGGACTGCTTGAGCCCAGGAGTTTGAGGTTGCTGTGAGCTAGGCTGACACCATGGCACTCTACTCAGGGCAACAGAGTGAGACTCTGTTTCAAAAACAAAACAAAACAACAACAACAACAACACATATACTGACTATCTTAGGTCACAATACTTCAAGAAGCCACCACCAGGCCGGGCGTGGTGGCTCACGCCTATAATCTTAGCGCTCTGGGAGGCCGAGGCGGGTGGATCGTTTGAGCTCAGGAGTTCGAGACTAGCCTGAGCAAGAGCGAGACCCCGTCTCTACTAAAAAAAATAGAAAGAAATTTAGCTGGACAACTAAAAATATATAGAAAAAATTAGCCGGGCATGGTGGCACATGCCTGTAGTCCCAGCTACTCGGGAGGCTGAGGCAGGAGGATCGCTTGAGCCCAGGAGTCTGAGGTTGCTGTGAGCTAGGCTGACGCCACGGCACTCAGCCCGGGCAACAGAGCGAGACTGTCTCAAAAAAAAAAAAAAAAAGGATCCTGAGAACAAATCCAGAGTCAGTGAGAGAATCATGATTGATTAGTAATGTCTGACACAGGCATAGGATAAGAAAGTGGTGTCATGTGTGCCAGCCATATGCGATCAGTGATGTCATTTCACCCTTTTGCTTCATCAGTGAGGAAACAATGGCAGAGCCAGGACTTGACCCAGGTGTCCCAGACCCTAGACCAAGATCTTTCCCCCACACTGCTATGTCTTCGTATACATCACAGAAGTGTGTTCAGTGCCTCACTTGTGAGGTCTGTGTCATGGGGCAGCATAGCCATGGCCTGTGAGCAGGAGGCAGGGATTCTGTCCTGCTCGCTTCTGGATTCCCTGTGCCTAGCACAGTGCCAGCCAAATGATGGACATTGGTAAATGTGTGTTGAATTGAAACGAGCTCTGACCACCCAGATCATACTAGGGACGTGTTCTGGCATGGCCAGAGATCCAAGGAGAAGGAGGTACACACCCTGACTTACCTGGGATTCAAACAAAAGAACAAAGTCCCATGTGCCTTAATGAGGGTGTCAAAGTAGAGCGGGTTAAAATAACTGGGGACTAAAGATTTAAATGTAAGACCTGAGACCATAAAACTTTTAGAAAAAAACAGAAAAAACTCTTCTGGACATCAGCCTAGGCAAAGAATTTATGACTACTACCCCAATAGCAAATACAGCAACAACAAAAATAAATAAATGGGATTTAATTAAATGAAAAGGCTTCTGCACAGCAAGGGAAATAATCAATGGAGTATGTAGACAACCTGCAGAATGGGAGAAAATGTTCATAAACTATACATTTGACAAATGACTGATATCCAGAATCTACAAAGAACTCAAACAAATCAGCAAGAAAAAATGAAATAACCCCATTAAAAAGTAGGCAAAAGACATGAATAGAAGTTTTTCAAAAGAAGATAGACAGATGACCAACAATCATATGAAAAAAGTCACTAATCATCAGAGAAATGCAAATTAAAACCACAATGAGATACTACATTACCCCTGTTAGAATGGCCATTATTAAAAAAAATAAATAGATGCTGGCATGGAAGCAGAGAAAGGAAAGTGTATACACTGTTGGTGGGACTGCAAATCAGTGCCACCTCTATGGAAAACAGTATGGAGATTCTTCAAAGAACTAAAAGTAGAACTACCATTTGATCCAGCAATCTTCCTACTGGGTATCTACCCAAAGGAAAAGAAGTCATTTTATCAAAAAGACACTTGTACCCAAATGTTTATTACAGCACAATTCACAATTGCAAAAATGTGGCATCAACCTAAATGCCCATCAATTGATGAGTAGATAAAGAAAATATGGTATATAAATACCATGGAATACTACTCAGTCATAAAAAGGAATGAAACAATGTCTTTTGCAGCAAGTTGGATGCAACTGGAGACCATTATCCTAAGTATCTCATAAATGGAAAAACAAACACCACGTGTTCTCATTAATAAGTGGGAACTAAATAATGGGTACACATGGTCATAAAGTGGTGTAAAGGACATCGGAAACCAAGAAGTGGGGAGGGGGAGAGGGGGTGAGGGATAAAAACTTACCTGTTGGGTACAATGTACACTACTCTGGTGACGGGCACACCAAAAGCCCTGACTTCAGCATTATACAATTCATCCATGTAACAAAAACACTTGTACCCCTTTAATATTTTGAAATTTAAAAAAAGAAAAGATAATAATAACTGTGGAAGCCAGCATAGTCACACAATCATCCATAGGTCCTTTAGTGACAGGGACCAATTAACAAGCTACTTGGCACCTGGATCCCAGGGCTCTGCTTCGGGTGAGTGTGTCTGCACTTGCAATTCTGCCCACTGCGTGCCCCACCATGGAGGATGCCTGGCAGCAGCTGGCTCGACAACCTGACAGCGTGCCCAGGTGGAAACCACAGTGTGGGCCAGCTGATTTATGATAACAGAGCTGCCCAGTTCTCATTAGGGGTGGAGATGGGGCATGCTGTTGGCGAAGGTAGTGGGCAAGTCTTTCGTAGTGGGAGGGAAAGCGGGGGAGCTGAGGCTTCAGGGAAGGAAACCCCTGGTAATAGGAGATGGGGAACAAACAAGCCTTCCTCCATGTACCTCTCTTCCACCCGAAATTCCTGTCTTATGTAATGGCCACACCAGCCACTCGTGCATCTGAACTCAAAATCTGAGCTCACTTTCCTTTGTTTCCTTCTTTCTTGTCACCCCCATCTTATCAGCAGTCACCTTTAGAATTTGACCTCATGTTCTCTCTCCAATCTGTCTGCTCTATTCCATCTCCTGGTCACTACCTTTCTTGTCTCTTTGCCTTTGCAAAGCTATTTCCTTACTTAAAATGCCTTCACGTCTATCTCATTTCTCTATTCGGTGCCTTCCTATGCATTGCCACAAAATGTCACTTCCTCTGAGAAGCCTCCATGCCCCACCCTGCACTTTGTGCAGAACACAGGAGACCACGCCGCACTGCACTGTATCATCGATTTTGTGTGTCTGAGGCAGGGACAGCGTTTTGTTTGCTGCTGCACACCCAGCCCCTGGGTTGGGTGAGTCAGACAGCCCCGGGGCCCCGCCTCTGCCCAGACGCCTACCTCAATAGATAAGTGGGGAGGTTCCAGGGAGATATCTTTTAGGACCAGCATGGACCTCCCTGTCTCTTCAAACTCAGCGATGCCAGACACACGGATCAGCTTTTCATCTGTTAGCTTGTTTCTGTAATTGTTGTAGGGCAGCAGGAGTGGCCACTGTGTCTCTAAGCACAGATGAAAAACATCTTGAGTCTAGGGAATGGGTCAGAGAGAGAGGGAGAGAATGTGTATGTGTGAGAGAGGAAAAAGGAGAGTTTTCACATGAGAGATAATACATGTGTGAATCTATGTGTGTGAAAGTATTTGTGTGTATGTGAGAGACAGACAGACAGACAGTGTGCTTACCCTACACAGAGTGCCCCAGGGCTCACTACTGTGTCTCACGTGGTAGGTGGCATCAGAAGTACAGCAGTTGGCAGCTTCACTGCCCGAAATGTGTATGTGTTGGGGGGTGGGTCTCTGCGTGATCCGGCTGGGCCATCCCAGCTTTGTTCACGGCCCAAAGCTCCCCCCAAGGAGGTGCCTTCTCAGGCCTGCCTCATACTCACCCTTCCCAAAGTCCAGGTTCAGTTGCATCATGTGCCTCCACAGGGGCTCCCGGGTGCCACCCCCGTGCAGCAGGGCCTGGGCACAGAAGCGCACCACCAGTCGGATGGGCCCCTGAAGGTGGGCTCTGTGTGATACCCTCTGGACACGCAGCATCAGCAGCACGTCCTGGCCCCACTCAGGCGTCCTGGCCAGGTGAAGCTGCAGCCGCACTGGATGACCCTCAAAACCCCCAGATCCCAAGAGATCCAGGAAGGATGAAGAGGTTCTATTTGGGCCCAGCATTTTCCTGGAAGCCTTCATGAATACAGATCGCTCCTCAGAGGATCCTGATGGAAAGGAGAGACAGGAAGGCCGCAGTGGTGAAGAGTGGAGAGGACCAAAGACATTCTTGAGGGAACAAGCCACTCAGCAACTCTCAGCCCCATCCTGAAGCCATAGGAATAGCAGTGCAGGGAGGGAGCACAGCACAGTGAGAGAGCACAGCACAGTGAGGGGGCACAGCACAGTGAGGGGGCGCAGCATAGGGAGGGGGCACAGCATAGGGAGGGGTGCAGTATCCTGGCTGAGAACACAGGCATTGGTGGCGCTGCTCAGGTCTAGGTTCAAATCCTCCCCCTATCACAATTTCAGTGCTTAGTCACGTCATCTATAACCCAGGGATGATATCTGCTTCCCTCATACAGTTGCCAAGGAAAGTTAGGTTAAGGGAGTTGCTGAAGGAAGGCACTCAGCAGTGTTCTTTGTCATTAATATTGCCACCATCATCACTGTCATCATCATAGAAGCCAGAGGCTTCTCTCCCCAATTCCAGCATCCTCATCCTTATTCTAAAATATATGTTTGGACCTTTTAAACAGAGCTTCATCTCTTGCCCTTGGGGGCAACTCAATATTGAGGCTTAACTCACACTTACGCCCCACTGTGGACTTTTCTACTACATGCCAGAGGCACTGCGCCCAGTCCTTTCTGCGCATCAACTCATTTAACCCCCACAACAGCCCTCTGAGGTACTGTTATCCCATTTTGCAGGTGAGGAAATGGAGGCACAGGGATGGCAGGCTGTGTCCAGGCTTCCACAGCTAGAACACAGCAGAGCCTTGCTTGCTACTCAGGCGGCCGAAGCCACCAAGCACTCTCCATGGGGATGCCCGGGGCTCATCCCTCCTGAGCACCCACCTCTCCCCTTGCTGCTGCCCCTACAACCATGGACATGGGGATATGGCATGTGACCCTGGGATAGAGTTACCAGATAAAACACAGTACATCCAATTAAATTTAATTTCAGATAAACAATGAATAATTTTTAGTTTAGTATGTTGCATGCAATATTTGGAACATACTTATATTAAAAATCATACCCAGTTAAATTTGAATTTTTGAATACTTTCTAGCGTAAGTATGGCATGCAACATTTGGGACATTCGTATACTAATAAAATATATTTGTTTACCTGGAATCAAATTTCACTGGCACTCTGAATTTTATCTGCTAAGTCTGGTAACCCTACCTTATGGCTATATACCCAGGGTCCAGGAAAGACCCCTGGGAGTTTGCCGTGAGGACGAGGTGATTAGATGGTGATGGTTTTGACCTGGAGCCACCCCAGCTGGCCCAGAGGAGGTTATACCAACCCCCTCCCAAATCCCCAGCGTCCAGGCACCTTCTGGATACTTGTAGGAGCTGGTGATGTCCTGGCGCTGGTCTGACCCCACCATCTTGGTGCTGATCTTCTTCCCGATGGAGCTGGTGTTGTGCACCAGGACTTCCTGAGCCTGGCTATTCCTGAAGAGCCAAATGACTTCGTCGGCATTCACCTCCGCGTACACAAAAGGGGTGTCATAGGCCAGGTGGACCTCCCCTTCCCTGATGGCCTTCACAGAGGCAGGGCCGCAGCAGAACAGCCCTGGGGAGGCAACGGGAGTTGGAAGATGGCTGGGGACATGGGGGCCAGGGGCAGCTGGTCGTGGCAAGGGGAGGTAGGGCAATGGCATGGACAGTGACACCGCTGACTCTCACCTGCGGGGTGCCCTCCAGTCTACCAAGCACTTTTGTTCCCATTCATTCATCTAACCCTCACAGCCGCCCTGTGGAGTGGCAATTATCATCTTCCCCACTTTACAGGTGAGGAAACAACCGAGGGCCCGTGACTTATCCAGTTGACCCCGCTGTCGATGGCAGGGTTAGAGTCCTGATCCAAAGCTGTTCTGCTACGGCTTCCAGAAGGGACTGAAGTGGGAAGACACCGCTCCTCTCTGGCCTACTGCTCACATGGTAAGTCACCCTATAGGCCTCCCCACGGAGTCCGCGCCCTGCCACAGTGGCCCACACTCACCGCTGCTGGTCTGCTGGGGAGTGGGGTCCAGAACCTGCCACCCATTGTATCCTGGCGGGAGATCTTTCCGGATCATCCAGCACTCATTCCAGACGTGGAAGTTCCTGCAGAAGGGAGTAAGGAGGCAAGGCTTCACATTAGCTGAGGTTTTGCCAGGTGCCAGACACCACACAGAGGGATTTACAGAATTGTTTCTTTTTTTTTACTTTTTATTAGGAAGTAATTTCAAGCTTAAGGTTGCAAGAATAGTACAAAGAATATACACAATTCATCTATTGTCAACGTTTTGCCTCATTTACTTTCTCTCAATATGGATATATGGACATATACATATACTTCAGTGTGTATTTCCTAAGAATAAGGATCTTCTCTCACATAACTACTGCACAGTTAATCATCATTAGCAGATTTAATATTGATATAATACTTTTATCTATTTACTGTCTGTATTTCAATCTCGCCAGTTGACCTAATAGTGTCCTTTATAGCATTCTTGTCCCACCCAGTACAGGATTCAGTCTAGGATCACACACTGCATTTAGTTGTTCAGTATCTTTAGTCTCCTTTGATCTTGGAACAGTTCCTCAGCCTTTCTTCATTTTGTTACACTGACATTTAAAACAGTATGTATGTATGTATTTATACCAGTGAGGGCCCCTTTGATGCTTGTGTGATGTGTCCTCATGATTAGATTCAGGCTGTACATTCCCAGGCAGAATTCTACATGGGTGCTATATCCTTCTTACATCTACCACTGCTTCTTGAATCAGAGATGAGTCAGCCCTCTAGGAGTATATCTGTGGATCCGAGGTTGAAAACCCCTGCTCACCTGCCTTTCTCTCATTTTGCGCTAACAACCCTGTGAAGTAGACACTATCTTTCTCTTACAGACAAGGACACTGAAGCTCAGAACAAGGACGGGGGGGGCTCCAAGGACACCGGCTAATTCTCATGCAACTCAAAGAGTCTCACCTGGAAACCAGCTGGACGAGGAAAAACAGGAAACCAGATTTGGATTTGGGGTAGAGCAGAGAAGGAGAAAGGAACCAGGGAAAGAGAGCGGAGATGCACACACATACAGAGGCATGGAGAGAGGGAGTGAGGCGGGGGAGGGAGAAGGCACCAGTGACTAGAGGAGGACTACGGAGGCAGCAAGGCCCAGCCCTGGCCCAGACAGGGAAACAGATTGGTACAAACAGAAAGACTCAGAGAAGGAACAGTAAGATGAGTAAAGATTTTTGAGGTCAGTGTTCAGAAGACACACAGCAAATTACTGGTCAAGGCTTCAGAATGTTATGACATTGTCTTCTACCTCTGAAGGGAATTTGACTTGATGATCTAATTAGCCAGAACCACCTACTGGGTTGGGCATTATCCTCCAAGCGTCAGCAGCTACGCACAGGGCAATATTGCTTCAACAGCCAGAGAGATCCAGGTCAAAGTTTTCCTGCCCTGTCTGGGATAGATAGATCTGTTCAAGACAAAACCCCTCACCATATTTTGTCTTGTTTCTGAGTTGGCAGCATCTCTGCATTTTGGTCATAGTAGGTGTCGATGGTCAAGTTCCTATCCACATTGTGTGCAGAACGGAAGTTGGAAATGACACGAGTTGGAACACCTAAGCATCTCATTACTAAAGAGAAAAAAAGAACAGAGAATCACTGAGTTCATCTCAAGCAGAATTATTGGTTTTCCATGCATAATTTCTAACTTAAGGTAGAGAAAGAAGCCAAGATTCTTGCAGATTTACACCTGTAACTTCTTTATTCCCAGAGCACTGCACCTGAACCCAAAACCCTGCTGCCCATGTGCCCCATCAATGGTCTCCATCCCCCAAGGAGAAAGAAGTAATTTGAGGATCATTTAAAACAACAGTTAACAACTCAATTTATCATTTAGGGCTTTTCCCACTTGGCAGCAGCTTTCCAAGTTAAAAACAGAGAACTGAAAAATTTTGATAATTAGAAAGAAAATTTTAAAAACTTTAGCCCTATGCTGTGGCCAGTTTCAAATGAGAAGCTGTGTGTCTTGAGGTAAGTGGCGTAACTTCTCTGGTCCTTAGTTTCTTTGTGTATAACAAAATGAGGAATGGGACCAGATGATTTTCAGTTCTGAAATTGTGGATCTGTAATTCTATTTAAAGACAAGAGTTGGGGGGGAAGCAAGAAAGAAATTAGAGAATTGATAGAAGGGTAGGATCGACTTCTAGAGACTGTAGAGGAAGACATTATCAGAGACAAGGGGAAACCACATACCAGTGGCAGCGATCATCTTTAATAAGGCAGCAGCTCCCCCTTGTGGCTTTTTAGGATAGTGCTACTAAGGCTTTTCAAAGCTGAGTTAAGATTTCACAGAGCTAGTCCCACAAAGCAGACATAACTGCCCCCCTCCCCAACACCTCCGTGCCCAGAGCCAGATGAAATTAAGCCAAGAGCCAAGTATGACCTTGGGTACTTAGGTTCCCACTTCTGCCAGTGCGGCAGGGAGTTCAAAGAGAGGTTTATTTCACCCATCTCCTTCCCAGGAAGAACAGGCAGCCCCCACTGAGGCTGCTGGGAGGATTACAATGCTTTGAAAAGCAAAAGGACTATTGAGAGTAACCAATCTTTTGATTCACTGAATAGCTCCCAAGAGGGCCACCTTCCTGCAGTCACCTGTCCACTCAGCTCAGCTCCTGGGCTCATCACAAATCTTTAGTAGGTGCAGAAGCTGGACCTGGGCTGCAAGTGGCCATAGGCAGCTTGCCTGGAGCCAATTTCCCAGGGCTCAGTGGCCCCAGAACTCAAGGGCCTGGGAGCGAGGAGGTGGAGCAAGGTCATGGACCTCATCCTCCCACTCATCCCAGGCCTCCTCCATAACACCTACCTGGCCACTGTCTGGGGACTTCCCAGCCCAAGGCAAAATAGGGAAAACTAAGGGCCAGAGTAGTCTCAGCCCGATTTCACAAATGAGCAAAGTGAGGTCACTTGATTGCAATGCTCAGATTTAAACCTCTTCTCTGTCTGCAGCACCTATACATAACTGCCAGGTTATGTGGCCCCTCTCAGAAAAGTCTAGAACTTTGTCTTTGGTGCCTGTCTCTGTCCTCCCCATTCTGTGCTCCCTCCTTCTCCAACTCAGAGTCAACCTGTTAGTTCAGCAAAAGTTTATCCTCCTCCATAGTGTGACAGGCACCCTGTGTGAGGCGTTCTGGCCTTGCAAAGGGAGACAGGCAGGTACCTCAGTACTCTCCCTCTTGCCCTCATTTTCACAGATCAACAACTTTTCTCTGAACTGTAAATAACTGATAATGCATAAAACATTCATGCTTCTTAAGGGCAGTTAGCAAAGTGTCACATCTCTACTTATAACTTGTCAAGAATCTCAGAGAAGCATTTGGGAGGTCAGGGTGTCTCAGACCATCTGCTCGCACCTGCCTCCAGGCTCACCTTGAGCTGAGAAGCCTGAGCAGGTGGCAGAAAGAAGCTGTTTGGCCTCTGCTTTAGGACCACAAGCTCCTCTATCCGGGCGACCCTTATAACAGGTTGACTCTCCATCAGTAAATGTAAACGTGCAGGATTCCTGGAGACTGCACAATGAGCTGGCTAGGAGCGCAGGGGCCCACCAGTCCCTAGCTATGGGGCCATGGGCCAGCCACGGTTAACTTATCTGAATGGAGACCATCACAGCCTGACCTCAAAGGGTTATCATAAGGACTTGTGAGTGTCTTCACTCACCGGTGCACATAACAGATGCAAAGACCCAGCACTGCCCGTACTTCACGGGCTGCCCGCCCCTGGCCGACCACTGCCGCAGGATGGCCACGCTGCCATTCCACTCCAGCGGGCTCACCCCTCGGGAGTAGTCCTCGCCCCAGTTCCCCTGCAGCACGCCACTGTCGTCGTTGCTGTTGATCTGCAAAGGACAGACAGGTGGGTTCCCACAGTGCCTGGGAAGCACAGACTGTTCTCAGGGCAGGGAGCTTCCGTCCTCACCATAGCGCTCACCACCCTGCACACATATACCACGTCGTTCCGCTGCGAATAGTCTTTGGATGGGTTCTCTAGGTAGTACAGGCTCTTGTTCAAGATCTCAAAGCAGATATCTATGATGTCCTCTTCAAACTTCCAAATGATTTCAAGAGAGATAAAAGAGAAGAGCAAAAATGTCTAGAATTCTGAAATTTCAAGTCACTAATAGACTTTTAGGGATGATGTGTATGTGGGGAGGTGGAGGAGGGGCTAAATATAAGACAAGGTCCTGCCTTCAAAGAGCTTATAAATCCACTTGGGAATGTGTTAGATTCAGAATTCTGGACAACTAAACCATGTGGCTCTGATGGAAAATACAGACAGAATTCAGAGAGTGGGAGATCCCTGTTGGCTGAAGAGATCAGAGAAGGCTTTGGAGCCAAGGGACTGTGAAGGATGGGACAGACAGGAAGAGAGGAGAGTGGGGACATTTACCTGAGGCCTTTGAGCACGGTGAGTACCAAGGACTTAATCTCCTATATGGAGGACTTGTGGGGACAGAAAAAGATCAGATAAGTATAGGGCTAGGTGTGGGGCCAGGCATTTGAGGAGAGAGAAAAGACGGTGGTGGCCGGGTGTGGTGACTCAGGCCTGTAATCCTAGCACTCTGGGAGGCCAAGGTGGGAGGATTGCTTGAGCTCAGGAGTTCGAAACCAGCCTGAGCAAGAGCGAGACCCCGTCTCTACTAAAAATAGAAAAAATTAGCCAGGCATGGTGGCGCATGCCTGTAGTCCCAGCTACTCGGGAGGCTGAGGCAGGAGGATTGCTTGAGCCCAGGAGTTTGAGGTTGCTGTGAGCTGGGCTAATGCCACGGCACTCTAGCCCAGGCGAGAGAGTGAGACTCTGTCTCAAAAAAAAAAAAAAAAAGATGGTGGAGAGTCTCAAGATTAGGTAGAGGGGCTCAGAGTAGACGCTGTGGGCCCTGGAGAGGGCAGGGTAGGCTCCTGACACACATTTACAGCACATGTTCATGACATGTGCACAGCCCTTTTGGCTGCCAAATGCACGGGTATTCATCTCTGTCTTAAAAAATGTCACAAGTTGCCACAGTTGGAGAATGGAGAAAATGTGATCTTCCTCAGCGAGGCTCCCCGCTTCCCCCAACTGTTCCCTCCTGGAGTTTGGGGACAGGACTGAGATGGCAGTGGGGGAAAGAGAAACTACACCTGCCATGACTGATAGTGGAAAGGTTGCCCGGAGCCAAAGTCCTCCTCTGTACATGGACTGGATGTTTGATGTTATTAAGGGATCACTGTTCATTGTTTTCCAGTTATGATCATGTATTGTGGTTAAGTTCTTCAGAAAGAGTTATCTTTCAGAGCTATGTTCTGAAGTATTACTGCATTAAATGATATGTAATTTGCTTCCCAAAAAGCCAGTGGTGAGGTAGGGGGACGGAGGAGTATAGACCAGGTATGGGCAAGCTTTTTCGCCAAGGACCAGAGAATAAATATTTTAGCCCTTGCAGACCACAGGGTCTCTGTCTCAACAGCTCAGTTCTGCTGTTGTAGCATGAAAGCAGCCACAGACACTTCTAAACAAATGAACATGGCTGTGTTCCATTAAATGTTATTTATGGACACCACAATTTAAATTTCATATAATTTTCACATGTCACAAAATACGGTTCTTTCATAATTCCTTTTCAACTATTTTAAAATGTGAAAACTATCCTTAGCTTGTGGGCCATACAAAAGCAGATAGTAGGCCCCATCTGGCCCATGGGCTATGGTTTACAAATCCCTGGGGTAGAGGAAATAAGACTCACCATAAACTGATCACTATTGAAGCTGAGAGATGGGTCCATGGAGATTCATTACAGCAGCCTGTTTACTTTTATTATGCTTTAAGCTTTTCATAATAAAATATTAAAAACTAAAGAGGAAAGGCCTCTCCCCATCCTTCCTCCCCCCTCTCACTGGAAGGAAAGTTGGCCCAGCACTTCACACCCGGCCCCTGTCAGCAGCCCTTCATGATCCAACAGAGTTGTCTTGGACCAGCCTTAACGAGCCCACCCCAGGCCCACATCCAGGTGACAGTGTTACCTGCCCGAAGTTCCAGGGCCAGGAGGTGATGAATCTTTCATGACCCTTGTAGACAAAGCCATAATCCCTCATGATATACTCCTGCAGCAGTATTTCACTTGGCAGGTAGACATCGTCCTCTGAGCAGTTAAGAGTAGTGCATGGGGAAAAACCCCAACCAGAAAATAGAGTAATAAAATTAAAAACCAGTAATGACAGTATCTTTCTGGAAGACAGGAGGAGCAGTCAGTGGGTTGATGGCAACAGAAATTAAGACTGGACCCCCTTAAAAGTCTAATATGTGCTTTTCTAGAGGCCAGCAATATAATCTATACTTTAAGAAATGATTATCTTGGCTGGGTGCAGTGGCTCACACCTGTAATCCCAGCACTCTAGGAGGCCAGAAGTTAGAGACCAGCCTGAGCAAGAGCGAGACCCCATGTCTACAAAAAATAGAAATATTAGCCAGGTGTAGTGGCATGTGCCTGTAGTCCCAGCTACTTGGGAGGCTGAGGCAGGAGGATTGCTCAAGCCCAGGAGTTTGAGGTTGCAATGTGCTATGATGATGCCACTGCACTCTAGCCCGGGTGACAAAGTGAGACACTGTCTCAAAAAAAGATTATCTTTTCCTGATTGTAAAAGTGACAAGCTTATTGTAGAGATTCAAAAAATATGGATGGACAGAAGGAAGAAAATGAAAATCACTCCTTCCCACTACTCAGGACACCCACCATTACATTGTGTGTTCTGGCCGCTCTCTTTCTATGTACATATATTTAACACAGTTAGGATCACCATGTTCTACTTCCTGAGCTATTTCACTTAATGTCACACCATGAATATTTTCATCATAGTGTTAAAATTCTTTGTAAAGATGATTCTTAGTGAGAGCACATGGTAATACATTTATTACATGCAGCGATTTATCTTCTGGGTTTTCCCCAAGGAACCTCACGGAGCCTTCCCAATGGATCAGGTCAGCATTACAACTTGTGAGCAAGTCCTACCTGCACTCCAAGGGTTAAAAAGCAGGATGAAAGTCCCCAGAGGGTAAGTTACACCGTGACCTTGGCCCTGAGAAATCTCTATCTTCAGAGTGTAAGGGCCAATGACTGCATTGGCTGGTGTGAAAAGGGAGACTTGGAGAGAGTTGGAGTCAATGGTGAAGTCAGAAGCACTCCAGACATTCCCATGCTGGGTCTGGGTGAGTAAGAATGTGGCCTGGGTCCCCAGCAGCTCTGAGGGCTCAGGTCCTGTGTAGGAGAGAATGATCCCAAAGTGAGGCTCAAAAATCTATGTGGTATATGATCCCAGGGGGCCTGAAAGGACCCTCCCATCTCCCACTACTTGCTAATCCTTTTGCCTTTTTACTGCCATTGGGTGTCCTTGAACAAACTAACATCTCTGGGCCTTAGTTTTTTTAGCTATAAAATGGGGATTGTAACAGTACCCACCTGAAAGTCTTGTCATGGGGATTAAATGAGATAACGTATGTGCAGTTTTAGCACAGTGCTTGTTGTGTATTTAAAAGTTGGCTGTTATTGCCACTACTTCTGTGTGCTGACTTGGCCAGATCTTCCCTTAACAGCACTACAGGGTCCTGAGCATGAGGGTCCTGGGTGCTCCCAGGAGAACAGAGGGGAGGGTGTCTCAGAGGGAGAGGCAGGGGCCCTGCAGGTGGACTTTGCTAACACTCCCATTTTGAGGGAACTTGCAGGGCCTTGGGGCAGGGTGAACTCACCAGTCTCAGCCACGAAGCTGATGGTGTCAGTCTGGGGCTGGAAGGGTCTGTTGAAGCCCAGCTGCAGGGTGAAGAGCTGGCCGCGGCGCAGGATGAGCCGCTTCAGGCCCATCTCCTGCGTGTGGTGCTCCTTGTTGTTCCTGGGACTCTGCAGGTCCACAGACCTGAGCTCCAAGGTGGCCACTAGGGAAGGGAAGGGGACAGGTCACTGCCCAGCTGCCACTCCCTATGCTCATGTGTCCCCTGACACTTCTCAGTCATTTCTGTGCCACCTGGCCCTGACTTAGGTAAGATTCCTGTCCAGTTTTTAGGCCTTCTGCCACCCTGCCCCCTCATTTCATGCCTCAGCCTCAGGGGGCAATTCAGCAGGTTCTGGCTGGGGAGGGGAAAGTTGATCCTGGTGTCTTCTGCACCTGGAGCCACAGAGCTCAAGGATTCAGGTCCCCAAAAGCAAAATGATTCCAGATAACTGAAATTTAACCCTTAAAGTGCCACCACATGCTCTTAACCACTTTTGTTGATATCCTTCTAAGAGTCACTCTATTATGCTGCTGATATAAGAATAAACATACCAGAATTTTACATTAATTATGACAACGAGCTGACTAGAGGCTGGGACCTCCGCTACAGGGCAAGTCCTGCTTTAGGATAGTTGCTTGTAAGTTATTTCTTGCTTCTCAGCCATGTTCCAGGTCTGTGAGGAGGGCATTGGCTGCTTCATGGGGCGCCACCGTATGTGTACACCTAGTGGATGGTTATAAAACTCTCATGGCACAGTGGGCAAGTGTGCAGGCTCTGGAGTGACCACCTTGCCTGTGAGACCTCGAGCTAGTTACTTAACGTCCCTAGACATTAGTGTCCTCTTCTGAAAAATGGAGACAATTGCACTGCTACCGCATAAGGTTTGTGGGGCATTAAGTGATGAGGGTACACATATAAAGGCCTTGGCATTGTGCCAGGTTCAGAGTAAGCACTCAGTAATGATCAGTTAGTATTAACAGTAGTATTAATGCCACCTCAGATTGCATTGCTTTGCTACTTTTGCTGGCAATGTTTATATCACATCTACTGTCAACAAAAATCCATTAGGTCTTTTGCCTAGTAGTACATCAGTTTATCTCAGTGGTTCTCAACAGGGAAAATTTGTCCCCAGAAGGACATTGAGCAATGTCTGGAAACCTTTTTTGACTTGGGGAAGAGGCTGGTCCTGACATCTACTGGGTAAAGGCCAGGAAAACTGCTAAACAGCACCCCAGAGGAGAACCTCATGTTTGCTCCTGTCCTGGTTTTGTACCATTTGCATTTTGAATGGCCACATAAGTTATTTATGTTTTTGCATCTTTCCTACCTGTCTGGATCTTAATTCTTTGACCCAAATGCTTTACCTTGCTGTCTGTAGACTGGCTAAACTGTCTTCCATGTCTTCATCCGAGTAATTGATAATAAGATGGTTCTAAGCATCAAGGCTTAAGTTGGAGGCCAGTGGAGCAAGAGCTTTCCTCCAGGTTTACACTGAGCTGTTAAGAAATACTCTTTGGGTGTAGCTGTTCAACAGCTGTGACTACATCTAATTCTTTGAATTAAGAAGTTGAATTAGGTATTTTTGAATTTCCTTCACAGTCTAAAATCAAATTCAGCTTTCATATTTTCATCTTTCCCATAAATTTATCAAATGTCTGGCTGAAAACAGACTGTGCCCGATGGCCCCTTGATCCCCCTCCTAATAACAATCTTTCCTGGGGTAGATTCATGAAAGGTAAATTACCGGATCAAATGGTAAAAAGTTTTTAAGCCTCTTGATGTAATTTGGGTACTTAAATAGATATGTTATTGGAACCAGAAAATTCAGAAAAGATCTAAAATGCCTTTGAGTTATTTAACAGCATTTTTTAAACTTCAGATCTAACCCATTCGGTAGTCTGTGGAATCAATTTAGAGATAGGTGGCAAATACTAAGAAAAATAGAATAGAATGGAAAATATCACAATGCATCATGCAGAGGAAGAACAAAGATAATTTTATGTGTAGCTGGGTCATGATGTAAATCGTGGGTCATGGTCAAAGTTTGAAAGCAGCTGGCCTAGATCCTGTTGGAAACTGGTTGCATCTTATTTGTTTCTGAAGAGCCTGAAATTTTCATACCAGGACCACTGAGCCTTCACAGAAAGCCTCTCCGTCCCATGCATAACTCTGGTGGCCTTCCCACCCTGAAAGGTCATAGACCCAAAAGAGGCAGTAAAGAGCACACAGGAGCCCTTCCTCCCTCCACAGGACGGAAGAGGCCACAGCAGAGCAGCCTTTTCCCAGCTGTGGTTCACAGCTCAAAGCATAGTTCCTAAGGCAGCCAACCCTATTTTCCCTTTACCCAGGCTTCTCTCATTTGGGGAAGAAAGGAGAAGAGGAAGCAGGAAGATGTCCTCCTCTCTAGATGCCCAAGGTTGCAGTGCATGGAGAAACTCATTCTCCATGGGACACTCAGGTTTCCTTTTTCATTCCACTCAATATAATTATGCATTTGGTTCACCGAAGTGCTTTTCATGTCAAGGAGACAATGACTTAAAACAACAAAAGGAAGGGCTTTTAAGGGAGCAGGAAAGGAAAGCCAAGAGGATCAGGAAGAGGTTCCACAAAGCAGGAAATCAAGCAGAATAAATTAGTAAAAACATGTCAGCACCCACACGGCCTTCTTGACTTGGCCATCGTCCCACTGAGTTAATGACACGAGTTAAGAAGAGAGGTAAGCCCCAGCCACAAGACTCCTGGCGCTTATTTGACTACTACAAAGACAAAGGTATAAAACGATCAAAATATATCCCAATGTATTATCAGCCCTTAAAAAAAAAGGAGACACTAAAAACAGTCATCTGTCTGCGATGAGTTGCGAAGCTCCTGTCCTGTGAGAGACCAACCCTGACACAGCCATGCTTTCATGCCTGGTTCCATCTCTCCACTCAGGTCTTGGCTCAGAGGTAACCACTGCACAGGGGCTTTCTTTGCCCACTGAATATGATGCTCTACCTCCTGCCCCCTGATCACTTGCTGTCACAACACCCTCTTTATTTTCTGCAGAGCACTTAGTATCTAGAATTAGTTCCACAAAAGCAGAGACCTTGGCCATCTTCCCTAGCATGGATCCCCCATGCCTAGCATGGAGCATGGTACCTAATTGCAGATAACAATGGCTAAAGTTCATGGAATACTTACTATATTCCAGGCACCATTTAGAGCATTTTACATCTCTGAAATCATTTATGTTCTCACAACCACTCTGAAATGGGGGTGTAAATACTGTTCCTGACATGCAGGAAGGTGCTGGGCAAAGCTGGGAGTTAAACCCAGGTAGGCTGGCTCCAGTGCCTGCCCCTGAACCTTCACAGTCTCCTGCCTTCCCTGGTGGCGATGTTTGCTGGATGGATCAATGCACGTGTGCATGAAGTCCCAGGAGAGTAGCCCAGCCGGAGGGCAGTGGGGCTGTAGGGGAACTGGGGGCAAAGCCTGTGAGGGCAACAGGGCCAGGACGAGGAGGGGCTTGACCCCAGGCCAAGATGCTGCTGCTTTGTTCAGTAGTAATGGGTAGATCTACCCCTGATGGGAGGATAAAATGTTAACATCTTTCTAAGGGCAATTTACCAGTGTTTATCACAAAATATAAGAAAATCTGAAAATACAAATACTTGTAGGAATTTTTTCTAAGAAAATCATCATTTGTGTGCAAAAATGGACACATAAGGATTTCAAGGTAACCCAATGTCCTACAATAAGAGTTGGCTACATCAACTTTATTCCCGTCATCTGATGTAGCCAACAAAGAGGACGCCAACAGCAACAACAAAAAAGAACAAAGAATATGGGGAGATAATCCATGAGATAGTGAAAAGAAAAATAAAAAAGACTAAAAATCAGTAGGTTACAGATTATCTTTAGGTGGTGAAATTAGGGGAAGTTTTTAAGTTTTTTGGTGTTTTCCAAGCTTTTGCTTTGATCGTGTATTCTTTTTGTATTTAGGGGAATGTGTTAATTTGATTAAAGGCAGGTTTTTGAGCAGGAGTGGCAGGATCAAAGCTGTACTTCAGGATTAATCCGGCTGTGGTATTTAGCCCAGACCGCAGGGAAAAAAGACAAGGGTGGGAAGGGCAGTGGAAGCTCTGTCGAAATGATCTGGGCCAAAGGCTAACGAGGAGATGAGGACATAAACACAGATGTTGGTAAGAGGAAAAAAGGGACCACCTACTTGTGCAAGGGACCAGCATCCCTGGGCATGTGACAGGCTAATAAATTTTACTTGTTGAAATTGCTTGAATTGCTGGGCTTCCTAAGGCCCCAGCTAGTGTGGATGCAGACAGGGTAAGTTAAAGGAGTGAGGTCTGCCATAAGGTCTTAGGCAGTCGGGCGGGGGGCGAAGGGTGGAAAACACCAGGTGGAGACAGCAAAGGGTGAGATATTCCCCAGCAGCAGGCAGAGAGGATTGGCACCTGCTGCCAAATGGCAGATGGACTCAGCTCCTTCCCTTTTCCTGCCTTTGTTCCTGCATTTATTCCAGCTTCTTTTCTTTTTCCACTTCTCGTTATTGCTGTCGATTTGGGGACTTTCACAAATATTTCATTCTTTTTCATTTTTTCTCTTTTAAAAAATGTGAAAAGGTACAATCTGTGTGAGAGCATATGACGAGATTCCTGTAAAATGAGATTAACTGCAGTATTCTGTGCCTCTTTAAGCGTGTAAGAATAAAAATGTCTTCTTACTTAAAAATTCAAGTCCAAATTCCTTAGCCAAGCATTCAAAGTGCGGTCCCAACATATCCATCCAATCTTATCTCTCAATAGCCCATAATGCTTAGCCAAGCATTATTCATATCCATATTCAAGCATAGCCAGCATATCCATCCAATCTTATCTCCGAATAGCCCATAAACTCTGTGTCACTTGTATGGTGGCCTTCAAATAGAGCATGCCCAGCTCCACCTCTGGATGGCCCCTGCCCCTTCCTCAATCTCTTTGTGTCTCCATTGTACCTGTTCTTCAAGCAAAACTCAGCATCCACCTCCTCCATGAAATCCTCCCCAACCATTTCAGAACATGGGAATATCTTAGCCCTGCAACAAGAGTTTTATATCTAGCTAATATGTACTAACTGTTATTAAGCTCCTGGCTTTATGTACATTATCTCCTTCAATCCCTATAACTACGCAATGAGATTTTATCAACCCCATGTTCCGGATGTGTAGAAAGATGATCACTGAGGTTAAGTAACTTGCCCAGTGTCACCTAGCTAGTAAGTGGCAAAATTGGCATTTAAACCTAGACAGTTTGACTCTAGAACCCAGCTCTTAGCCTCTGGCTGGTGGTGCTAGTCTGGAGGTTTTCCAGCTTTTTTTTCCAAGTCAGTGAATATTAAGCTTTCTTCAAATCAAAGCATAATAAACAAACCTAAGAGGAGCTGCTCTGGTGGAAGAATGAGGCAGGGGTTCTGCCTATCCCCAGGCTTCTCTGTAGAGCCCTAGGGGTCCAAAGAACAAAACGAAAACCACAGCTCCAACTCAACCTCCTCATCCTAAGATGACTAAGAGGGTGAAAGCCCTAAGGTGGCTCAGCAGGTCAGGACAGAACCAGCTACAGGACCCACCTGATCTGTCTTCTTACTCTGCATTTTCTTAGACTCCGAGTTATTATTTAGTTAATCACTTACTACTATGTTGTTTCCTTGAAACATTATTTTCATTTGATGGTGACTACATGATTAACTATATTGTTTGATAGTTTGCACACAATACCCAGCAATTCAAATAGTTGCTGGCAAGAGAAAAGTATTCCCAGGTTGTTTGCATAGGTTAAATCATTAGATTTTTTGCTTCATGTGTAAGAAAGGTTTAATATTCATAACATATAAAAGTTGCTATAAATATGAAGAAGTCTTGCTATGATCATGGAAATGCAAACTAAACCCACAATGAAATCCATCTTTGATCCATTCAAAAATATTTAAAAGAATAACAATAACCTATTTTGTTGAGCATATGTGAAAATGGGCTGTTTCATATACTAATGGTGAGATGGTGAGAGTGTAAATTCATACAGACTTTTTAGAGGAAATCAATTAATATTCATTAAAACTTAAAGCAGATATTGCCTTTGATCCAACAGTTTTTCTTTTAGAAATCATTCATATAAAAATATTTACACATGTATACAAATTTATATCAACAGAGATATCCATTGCAGCATTGTTTATAAGAGCAAAATATTAGAAACAATCAAAATGTCCATAAATAAGGGATAGTAACAAACTAAACAAATTAATAAATTTGTTAAATAAATTGTGCTTATATGCCCAGAATGGAAAACTATAGTTACTACAAATTTTTGATAAATCAATATGTACTGACACAGAAAGATCTCTAAGATATATGGTTAAGTTTTTTTAAAAAGCAAGTCATCAAATGATATGTATTATGTAATCTCATTTGTATAAAACAAATGGTTTTGTATACTCTAGTATTATTTGGAAACAGTTGATCAAATTGTTAATGGTGTTTCTTCTCGGGAAGGAGCAGGGTTGGGAGTATCTATGTATGTAAAGGGGAACTTGGACTTTTTTAATTCTACTGTATGAATTTTTTACTGTTTACAACAAGCATACATTTTTGTGTATTACTTGTTTAATTAAAGCATACTATTTTAAAATATTATGTAACATTTTAGGTTTACTCCAGGTAAGGATAACCGAGGAAAAAAAGATACCCTAGAATCTACCACAAAAATACCCTGGAATCTAGCACACAAACTTCTTGAGGCTTCTCTATTATACTCTGGCTGGTACTAAAAAACCAGTCACATCTCTAATTTCTAATAGCTTCTGTGATATACGGTTTAGAATATCATTTTAAGAAATGGATGATCCATGTTTAATGCCCTCTTCCAGCAATCCCCAAGTCAGCCAGATGTCCCAGCCTGTGGAAGCCTGTTTCCTCACTCCCAGCAGGAGTGGCAGGGGCTCTAGGACAGTCAAAAAAGGGACCTAAGCTCAGAGACAGGAGCTGCAACTCCCAATTGGGAGCTGGGAGCTGGAGGAGAAGCTGGGTAAGAGAAAGGTCTAGGAGCTGAGAGGTGTCCTCCCACAGCTCCAGGGTTAGCCACAGAAATGCCTCCCAAGCACCCAAGAGCACCTGGGGTGTGGGCCTCCCCTGACTTCTCAAAGCAATTCCAGCCCCAGGATTTTAAAGAAAAGATTGTTCACAGCTTCAGGAAAGAAAATGAATGGCTGTATGATTTCTGCCCCAAGGTCCAAGCGAAGGTGGGGAAATGGGAGGAAGGAGCCAGATTACACAATCAACCAGCAACCATCAATTTAGGCTCTCCTGTCTCTTCTGTTCACCCTCTAACCTCTCCAAACTTCTCTCCTCTCTTGACTTAGCACCTCAGAAAAGTTGAATAAATTCCCAGTACTTACCCCGATCCATCTCCCTCCTTCTCCTGTCAGCCAAGGCCCTTCAACTAGTCAGCATTAAGATTCTAGATCTAATTGCCTCTCTGAGCATTTACAGTCATCCTACTAGAACCTTCCCTTCCATCCCTGAGTTGGGTGGGGCTGCCATTTCCTCCTCCTCCTCCTCCTCCCACTCCTCTTAAATTTCCCCTTGTTCCGGGTGCATCTTAGCTTAAGGAAAGGAGCTTCTGGCTTAAGCCTTTAAAAAATTTGCTGAGGGATTTATTTCTGTGGCCTCCTTTTTAAGCTGAGAAGACTCCTGAGTGATGTGGAAGGCAAAGCTTTGTTTGAATCTGTCCGTTTGTACCTCGGTCAAGGCTTGGGACCTAGTTCAATCTAAGCCAGCTCGGTCTGGGCATCCACCGACAGTGTTGGTGTTGAGACTGGGATGAGGAAGGAACAGAGCTGCCCTGGGGAAGGTTGTAGAAAAATAGTCATGAAAAAAGGTTTGCACAGCCCATTAGGACCCAGAGAGCATTGCGTCTTGAAGGAAAACAAGACGTATTTGGAATGGTGAATTATAATGCTACCGATTAAAAATGGAAATTTACAAATTTTCCAGTGACAAGGGGAACCCACGGTACGGTGTCAACTGTGGGGAGGAAATAGGATACAAAAATGGTACAGCTGTTCTCACTCATATGTCGGAGCTAAAAAAGTTGAGCTCCTAGAAGTAAAGAGTAGAATTGTGGTTACTAGAGGCTAGAAAGGGTTGGCAGGAGCGGAGATGGGGAGAGGTTGGTTACGGGATACAAAATTATAGCTAGGTAGGAGCAATGACTTCTAGTGTTCTATAGAGCCATAGGGTGACTAGGCTTAACAATAATTTATTGTATACTTTCAAATAGCTAGAATAGAAGATTTTGAATAGTCCCAACACAAAGAAATGATAAATGTTTGGGATGATGCTAATTATCCTGCTTTGATCATTACATATGTATGCATGTATTGAAATATCACTCTGTACCCATAAATATGCACAATATTACATGTCAATTAAAAATAAGACAAAAGAAAAATTTAGAAACCAGTGTAGGCTGGGTGTAGCGGCTCACACTGGCAATCCTAGCACTTTAGAAGGCCAAGGAGAGAGGATCATCTGAGGCCATGAGTTTGAGATCGGCCTGAGCAAGAGTGAGACCATGTTTCTAACAAAAATAGAAAAATTAGCCAAGTGTGGTGGCGTGCACCTATAATCCCAGATACTTGGGAAGATGAGGCAGGAGGATAGCTTGAGTCCAGGAGTTTGAGGTTGCTGTGAACTATGATGAAGACACTGCACTCTACCCTGGGCAACAGAGCAAGACTCTGTCTCCAAAGAAAAAAAAAAATTTTTTTTTTTAAAAACCGGTGTAGTTTATCTCAATGGTATTAAAAATGTTATTTACACAGATAGACCCATTTTAAAAAGATGGAAGAAAGTATAACATAACAAACTGTGGCCATCTAAGATTGGTGACATTGTAAATGATTGTTATTTCCTTTTTTATATTTTACTGAATTTTTTAAAAATTCTGCAGTAGGATGTTTTTAATCAGAGAGGAGAAAACCCCATTTTTTTAAAGTGGGACAAGGAGTAGGAAGATCATGGCAGGAGATATGGACGTGTGTATATGTGTTTACCAGATTCACAATTTAAAGAGAGAGGCAGAAGTACCCATTCAGCACTCCTGGAGGAGGAATTCAGTTTGGTCAAAGAATAAGTGCTGCAGAGAAAACTTAGAGCTGCTTAAACATTTACTGATCACTGTCAAAGGTATGTAAGAAGTGCCTCATTCCCTGAGTTAGTCTGTGTGATCCATTGCAAATTGATACACCTATTGTGACTAAAACTTACTGTCACATCCTCTGCCTTTTTTAATGTGTTCAGTGTATTTGGGAAATGGTCCTCAGTTGACACATTAAACTCGCTCGTTGCGAAGTGTTTACTGAGCACCCTGTGAGCCTTATTTTACTAAAGTTACTGTACTTCGGCTCAGAAAGATAACTGGTTACTGGTGCCAAGAATCTCTTGTAGTAGACATATACGCTGTTTTGAGAAAGGCAGAATTATTTAAAACAACTTTTTTATAATACAAGTCCTAATCATATTAAAAATACTTTGAACGTAGTTTTTTTTTAATGGTACAGAAGGGTGTACATTTTGGTAAATTTCCTTCCTGTTATTTTGTCTGTGCACTGGTGGGATTTTTTCCCATAGCTGCAATCATACTGTGTCTTGAAGACAGTATTTCTTTAAAGTGAGAATTTCCATATAAAACAATTTGCCATCCTATTTGAAAATATAGGTTTGACAATGTCACAACTTTTGCCTTGTGAAAATAAGCATTCACATCTCAAATATTATGTATTTATTTCAACCCTCAATTTTTATTTAGGGGCTTAGATGGGAGGAGAGTTTTCTCCATGTCAAAATAAAAGTAGCCACAATATTATTGGTATCATCCAGGTTAACTGGAGAAATTCCATTTGATCAATCCTAAGGCCCCCATTATAAGACTGAGTGTCTGAATTTCCACTGCTGCTTTCATTCCTTCTTCATTCAGTTTGCTCCTCCAGGGAGAAGCACCAGAAAGGCCTTGTGATCTGTGATGTGCCCCTGAAGGATGAGGAATGGAATGAGAAAGGCATTCCAGGCCTAAGGCACAGCATGAGCAAAGCAGCGATGGTGGGACAACCAGGGCTTCTGAAACTGTCACAAGATTGCCTGCAGCTACCAAAACTCACTTTATAAAGCAACTGTGTTCAACGGGGAGAAAAAGAAAGAGTCAGAGGCTTGAGAGTTTCAGACTTGCAAAATCAGAGCTATTTGTCCTATACTGCTTTTAGATATTAGAATTTTATAGCTGTGGGTGATTGGTTTTAAAACGTAAACATCACTGATCAAATTGAGCTTTTTATGACCCCCTAGATTTTTTTCATACCACTACCCTACATTGGCTTCTTACCCATTATTGTCTTCCCTACCTGGCACTCTAGCTATTCTGCTCGATTGGTCAGCTAATTTTTTAATTAAGTTATGATCAATTGCTTACGATCGATACCCATCCTGGCATTACAAATCACATCCTTTAATTGTTCTTATTATACTCAATGTGCTCTATAAATTTTCCCTGTAAGAGCAATGCCTGATACAGTCAAGTTTTAATTTTAGTTTCCAGAACAAAAAGGGCCTTCTTCTATAGAATCATCTCTATGTTGATTATAGACCAGGCTCTGGTAGGTGAATTAATCCACTCAATTTGTTCCACAACTAGACAGCATTCTCTGAGGACCTTTAACTGTAAAGTAAATGCAGACACACTGTAATCCTTTCCTGGCTCCACACCCTTGTATGTGCCTACTGGCTTCTCCACTTAAAGATTCTGCAGTCGCTTCAAATTCGACATGTTCAAAATTAAACTCACAAACTCCACCCCTTCATTCATGTTATTTTTCACTCATCGTTACAAACATCACAAAACTTCATTAGTTGTTTAGAACCTATTATTTGAAGGTCGTGCAGCCAAATGGACAGAGCACAGGTTTCTAAGTTAAGAGAACCTGGTTCGGGACTCTGTTCTGACCCTTTGGGCTTTAATACTTGTTTGATCTGAAGCAAGTTATTCTTGCTAAGTCACACTTTCTTCCCATGTAAAATGGGCTGATAGTAATGCCTACTTCACAAGGTTGCTTTGAGAATCAAATAGATAATGTTTGTAGAAGCCTTAAAATGATATACAAACATGAGCCACTTTCATTGGCAATAATGATAATATTTATGATCCTTCAGAAGGTGAGATTCATGTTGAGTGAAAGAACATATGTCAAGACTTGCTGCTAAGCTGCCCAAGAAGACATTCATAGAGTCCGGCCTTATTCTCATTCATTGTCAGTGCTCCTGGCCTGATTATTCCCGGGGAACTGATAACATCATATCCGATGTAAACTGATTAGGTCATGCCCTTACTTAAAACTCATTGACAGCTTACATTGCTCCAGAGTCTAGAATCTTAACGTGGTCCACAGGTTCTACCATCTTATTTTACCCTTACAACGTCTCTGGCCACGTCACCCGTAACTCCCACTCACTAGCTTGCTGATGATCTTTTGTTTGTTTGCCCAATTACAAAATTCCCAAATTAAAATCTTTCCCCAAGGCATTTCCTTTCCTGGCCATTCTTTCTACCCTCTTATCAGACTCAGCTGAGATGTCACTTCCTCATAGCTTTCCCTAGTAGCTGAGGTCCCCACGTTTACTCTCTTGGAATGGTGCAATTCTCCTCTACAGCACTCATCAGACGCTAAATAGTCATTTATATAATTTGTCTTCCCTGTTTTCTATGTGTCAGTCAGATGACACATGAACAGGCTAAGCCATCTACAAAATAAAGCCAATTTTCCAGAATATCTGAATTACAACATCATCAATCCTTCCCCTAGGAAATTAGCTAGAAGTTGAGTATTTCCTGGGGTCTCCTCCCCAGAAGTCCCAGAGAATCCCCAGGGTTGCTTACTTTTGTCCACAAATTGGTTCCTGCTTTTGTAACCAATTGGTACCTGCTTGGAGAAGGAAAACTCAGTTGCACTCTTCAAGGATGGGTTGACCAGCTCTGCCAGGCTAGATATTCTTGACCAACTCCATAAGCTTGGGAGGATTACAGAGGCCTTCAGTTATATAGCCAGGAGGGTGAGGCAGGAGGGGTCGATGAGTTCAGCCACACCCTGTGCCTAGGATCAGCTCCCAAACCCCTGCTGTCGAGTCATGAGTTCCTATCCAGAAAGCCCTTCCTGGTGGTGAGCCACACTCGTCTTGTCCTCACCTGCCCGTCTGACCTCAGCCTGGAACTCCCAGGACCATCACATTTGTTTTAATAACTAAATTCTCAAGGTGGCCACACATGGTGCCAAGCACCTGTATTCCCAGCTACTCGGGAGGTTGAGGCAGGAGGATCTCTTGAGCCCAGGAGTTGGAGGCTGAGCTATGATTGCGCCTATGA